TCAAAAAAAAATGCTCCAGCTGCCTTTTAGAAGAAATAGGTACTGGGGAAATTCTCAAAAAAAAATAAACCCTACCTCAAGGTGAGTGATTTCATTATCTTCTTTCCACAAAAAAAAAAAGGCAACCTCAGGTAATTACAGTATTCTGACTCTTTTCTGCCTTAAAAAAAAAAGGCCACCTGTATTAGTCTCTCAGCGACAAGCCCAAGATAGGAATTAAAAAAAAAAATATTGTTAGGCAGGAATGTGGAAGCTCAGTGGCCAACACAATAAAAAAAAAAACAACTCAGGAGTTCCTGTGGGAGTCATTAAAGTGTCACCAAGTGAAAAAAAAATTTTGTTCTCTCTCCCTCTTTCTCATTTTTTCTCTGTTCCCTCTCAAAAAAAAATGCAGAGGCCCCCGTGCACTCAGGACATACCCTTTCCTCTAGAGGAAACACATGAGACGGTGCATTTTCCCATTTGGCCCAGGAAGAAAGTGTTTTGTTAAAAAAAAACAGTGACTGTGCAGTCTTCCTCTTGACCAAAGTCACTTTGCCTGCAAAAAAAAAGGAAATGAAACTTCAATAAATAAAAGAGTAGCGATGAAAAATTCAAAAAAAAAAGGCTACTGTCAGAGCAGCTCTCAGAGACTGTGTAGATTTATGTAAAAAAAAAAAATTTAATTAATTAATTAATTTAGTTTCTGAGATGCAGTTTTGCTCAAAAAAAAAAGGCTGGAGTTCAATGGTGTGATCTTGGCTCACTGCAACCTCTGCCTCCCAGGTTCAAGTGATTCTCCTGCCTCAGCCTCCCAAGTGGCTGGGATTACAAAAAAAAAACACCACACCCGGCCAGCTTTGTATTTTTAGTAGAAATGGGGCTTCAAAAAAAAAGTCAGGCTGTTCCTGACCTCAGGTGCTGCAACTGCCTTTGCCTCCAAAAAAAAAGGGATTACGAGCTTGAGCCATAGCGCCCGGCCATATTTTCTGTTTAAAAAAAAATGTACGTTGTCCCAGGACAGTTTTTTTTTTTTTTAAATACAGTGTAAAAAAAAATTGTCCAGGCTGGAGTTGTACTGTGGCATGATCCCAACTCACTGCAAAAAAAAACTCCTGGGTTCAAGTGATCCTCCTGTCTCAGCCTCCCAAGTAGCTGGGATTACAGGCACGAGCCACTATGCCCAGTTAATTTTTGTATTTTTAGTAGAGATGCGATTTCACCATGTTGGCCAGGCTGGTCTTGAACTCGTGGCCTCAAATGATCCTCCTGCTTTGGCCTCCCAAAGGGCTGAGATTACAGGCATGAGCCACTGTGCCAAAAAAAAACCTACAGTTATTTCAATCTACATCTCTGAAATGTATAGCTCACTTCACATCTAGGGACAGCTCTTGATATTCATCAACTCAGTTACTTCATAATTATTTAAAAAAAAATTTTCACGCTTACCCAGAGATATTCATTATGAAAACATTTGATTTAAAAAAAAAATATACAAAAGAGCAGTTTGAAAACCACGTGTGTCTCCAGAGTCAGTTGACTTTTCTACAGTTCTTAGCAGCAGAGCTTAAAAAATAGTGAAAGCATGAAAGCATACAACAATCATTTCACAATGTATATGTATAATAAAACATCACATTGTAAAAAAAAAAGTCAATATATATAATTTTTATTTATCTATGACAGCTGCTTGGGAGGCTGAGGCAGGAGAATTGCTTGAACCCAGGAGGCAGAGGTTGCAGTGAGCCAAGATCACACCACTGCACTCCAGTCTAGGTGACAGAGCAAGACTCCATCTCAAAAACAAAACAAAACAAAATAAAAAAGTAAAAACTAGGCCGAGTGCGGTGGCTCACGCCAAAAAAAAAAACACTTTGGGAGGCTGAGGTGGGCAGATCACCTGAGGTCAGGAGTTTGAGGCTAGCCTGGCCAACGTGGTGAAACCCCATCTCTATTAAAAATACAAAAAAAAAAAAAGTGTGGTGGTGGGCGTCTGTAATCCCAGCTACCTAGGAGGCTGAAAAAAAAAAATTGTTGGAACCCAGGACATGAAGCCTGCAGTGAGCCGGGATCACACCACTGTCTCCAGCTTAGGTGACAGAGCGAGACTCCATCTCAAAAAACGAACAAAAAAAAAAACAAACAAAAACTAGTAAAAACTAGTTTAAATGGGAAAAATGCTAAAAAAAAAATGATTTTATGTCACTGTAGATACTTATTGGTGTGATCAGATGCAAAAAAAAAAACTGTCCTGACTTATTGAATCAGGTTATGTTGCATGTTTAGACACGAAAAAAAAAAAGTCAACTCTTGGCAATGATATGCCAAGAGTTCCTGGGTTCTTGATCTCTTGGGATTCTGCTTCTGAGTCAGGCCCTACAGATCTGTGGTGTCATCTGAAAAAAAAATAGAGATAAAAAATTGATCTGGGTGAGTCACAAGAGTTAGGAAGAAAAAAAAAAGGCAAAGGACAGATTGGCATGAACTGGGCTATTAAGTGGCTTGTAAAAAAAAAATTTTCATAGGTGATTTCATAAAGAAAAGCCTAGGGACTCTTGAGACCAAACCTACTTGGGCAAACGTAGCAGGACCCTATGAATAGTAATTTGGCAAGTGTGACTTTTTATTAGAATCTGTTTGCTTGCAGAAGTAAGTTAATATTGTAAGAAAAAAAAAAATGTCGATCAGGTGACAGGAAGTGGCAAACATTTGAGCCAGTTAGTTCATGAATGCTTATAGGGCCAGGCAGGATCCAATGAGAGACTTAAGTAAAGTTTAAAAAAAAAATTCACTATCCTTCAACATTCGTTATCCTTTGGCTAATTTACTCTAAAAAAAAACTCTGTTCCATCCCATGGGGCCTGTCCTCTTGGCTACTCTGAAAGAAAAAAAAAATTTTTGACCCATTATTTTCTTTTGATATTAAATTCTCCTGTACTAAAAAAAAAATTAGCTTAAGGGTGACTTTTTTTTTTCTTCTTTTTTTCTTGAGAAAAAAAAAAACACTGTTGCCCAGGCTGGAGTGCAGTGGCACAATCTTGGCTCACTGCAACCTCCGCCTCCCAGGTTCAAATGATTCTCCCGCTTCAGCCTCCTGAGTAAAAAAAAAAACAGGTGCCTACAACCACGCCCGGCTATTTTTTGTGTGTGTGTTTAAAAAAAAAATAGGATTTCACCATGTTGGGCAGGCTGGTCTTGAACTCCCGACCTCGGGTGATCCACCTGCCTCGGTCTCCCAAAGTGCTGGGATTTTTGGCATGTGCAAAAAAAAACGCCCAGGGTGACTCTTTAAGCCTCATAAATAACAAGCAAACCTAAAAAAAAAATTTAATAATAGCTAGACATTTTAACATGATAGATGTTTTGAGCTCAAAAAAAAATTTCATGTTTTCTACTCAACCAGTTTTATCTAAAAATGAGGAGTAAAAAAAAAATGGGGGAAGGGTGTGACAGGCCAATGGGAAACAGAAGGTGTGTTAAAAAAAAAAATAAAGGTAATATTAATAATAACATTTATCTTTCATTGCACATTTAAAAAAAAACAGGTTTCATATGTTTCATGTATACCATCTCATTTTGTCCTTTACACAACCTCATGAGGTGGATATTATAATGGGAATCTTTGTGTAGGTGAACTATGAAAAAAAAAAAGAGAGATGAAATAACTTGCTCAGGATCACACAGCTGGTGAATGGAAAAAAAAAGATTCATACCTGGGTCTGTATGATTCTGAAACTAGAACTTTCATCAAAAAAAAATTACTGCTGTCTCTCACTAGCCTATACCTATACTGCCTCTTCACGAAAAAAAAAAGTTTGAAAAAATAGACTGGGTAGAGTTTTCCCTTCTCTAACTCTAAAAAAAAATCTCTTTCCAGTGAAAAGAAATGTGAATTCTCAATGGCAAGGCCAAGTCAAAACTGACCCTTGTAAGGCTACATCTGGAAAATCAGTCCTTTGATGGTAAAAAAAAAATGCTTCATGTGTGTGGTTCCTGAAGTCTTGCCTTTATCCAAACTCATCAGGAGAATGTCTGGCATGTCTAGTTCTGCATTAAAATACATACCTTTAGGCCATGATGAGAAATCTTCCCAAGCCTCATCAATCTTGATAGGAATCCCGGAGGATAACCATTATGAACCTATGAAGTTCTCAGTAGCTCATGAGCCCACTTTAATTTAACTCAGGAGAGGCCAATTTCTCAAACTCCAGTAGGCCATACATACCCACATATATAAAAAAAAAAAGCGTTGATCATGAGATCCTTCTGGAACAGGATTATAGTTTGGTAAAAAAAAATCCAACAGTGTAATACATTACATTCATGTGGTGGAAGAACAATGGAAAAAAAAACTGAAGATGTCTCTGTAATTAACTTAATATAAGACCTTGAATACAAAAAAAAAACTCTCTGGGCTTTTATTTCCTTATCTTCTGAAAAAAATATTGGACAAAAAAAAATTATCTGCCTGCCATGTAGCTGTCTTGATTGACATACGGTTACTTAAAAAAAAAAAAAATAACAGTCAGTTCACTCTTATAACACTAGTTACTTCATGCAAAAAAAAAGCTTGGGTTATCAGTTATCTACTAACTTAAATAGGAAGACAAATTAAAAAAAAACAGTATAGTTGGTTTACTGACAGTGTATCTGTGTATGTAAATGTGAAAAAAAAAGAAAAATAATATAAGGTGTCCTTGATGATGAAGAGCTGAATTTGTAAAAAAAAATTTTCTTTTCTTCAAGATGGAGTCTCGCTGTGTTGCAGTGGCGTGAAAAAAAAACACTGCAACCTCTGCCTCCCGGGTTCAAGTAATTCTCCTGCCTCAAAAAAAAAAGTAGCTGGGACTATAGGCACACACCACCATGCCCAGCTAATTTTTGTATTTTTAGTAGAGATGGGGTTTCACCATGTTGGCCAGGATGGTCTCGATCTCAAAAAAAAACGATCTACCTGCCTTGGCCTCCCAAAGTGTTGGGATTATAGGCGTAAAAAAAAACACCTGGCCTGAATTTGTTTTCTATTCCCTTTCAGAAGGCACGAGAAAAAAAAACAGTCTTTTCATGGCTGACATCATTTCCTGGTTCCTCAGAGTGTAAAAAAAAAAATTCAGCAGAGGGGAGATGACAGTGAAGGTGATAGAGACGGCCTTATCTGTGGGGAGGACAGTGAAGGGCCGGGCATAGACATAGATGCAGGGCACGAAAAAAAAAAACACCACAGTGATGTGGGAGGTGCAAGTGGAGATGGCTTTCCTCCTGCCCTTTCCTGCCTGAGACCTCAGCATCATTAGGATGACGGTGTAAGACACAAGAAAAAAAAAAAACCACAAGGTAGTGACCAGGCCATTGTTGGAAATCATCAGGAGAAAAAAAAAAAAAGTGTCAGTGCAAGCGAGTTTGAGGACCTGGGGGACATCACAAAAAAAAAAGTCAAGAACATTGGGTCCACAGAAAGGGAGGGGCAGCAACAGGGAAAAAAAAAAGATGGAGTGGACAAAGCCCCCAACCCAGGAGGCAGAGATGAGGGCAGTGCATCGACCCCTACTCATGATGGTCACATAGTGCAAGGGCTTGGAGATGGCAAAAAAAAAGTCAAACGCCATCACAGAGAGAGAAAAAATGTCTGCCCCACCAAGAAAAAAAAAGAGAAATATCTGTGTCATGCAGCTTGTATAGGATATGGTCTTTTTAAAAAAAAAAAGGTCCAGCAAGACTTTAGGAGCAGTTATGGATGAGAAGCAGATAAAAAAAAAGGCTAGATTGCAGAGCAGGAAGTACATGGGGGTGTGAAGGCGAGAAAAAAAAAACACAGTGACCATGATGAGGAGGTTTCCCAGCAGAGTCGTCATGTAAAAAAAAAATAAAAAAAGAAACAAGACCAAGCTCAGGTCTTGGGATTGAGTAAGAAAAAAAAATATAAATTCTTTTACTCTGGTGACATTTCCCAACTCCATTGAATCATGTTTTCTCTTTCCTGAATATCTTGGAAAAAATAATGTTATTTCAGAAAGTGTTTACTCTCTCTTAACAGATTCAAGTATTTGGCTTGAAAACTTGTGAGATATTGCAAAAAAAAAAAATACAATTTCAAGTTTATTGCCAACGCATGTAAAATGACATTTTATTACACAATCATGCATACACTTATGTAAATTACAATTTTTAAAAATGTATAAAAAAAAAAAAATAATGTTCCAGTTATTCAAGATACTTAGAACATTATTCAAGATAAAAAAAAAGGGATGTTAACTATTTAGAAAGAGACTATTGTGGCATGGGAAATAAAAAAAAAAGATTCGTTTGCTGTGTGAGTAAGGCAGTGCTTACTTGGTGTGACTAGAACACCTTGAGTTTCACAGGGCTGAGGATTTTGTTGTTTTTTTCTGAGACTGGATGCTCCATTTAAATGGTTCTAAGAACCCCTGTCTGCAAAATGGCCCCCCACTGGATTGAATTGTACGGAAGCAGCACCCCTGTCTTCTTAAATCACAAACTTATTTAAAAAAAAAATTAGAAAATATTTAAGCCATAAAATTCATCTCTATTGCTCTACTAAAAAAAAAGGGAACTTCTTTGTTTCTTTCTCTACTTTAATCTACTTTAGGTACTGAAACCCCTGGGTGGTAAATAGCTCCTTAGCTATGGAAATAAAAATATTTCTCAAAAAAAAACTTCTGTTGTTTCAATTTCTTTCTTAAAAAATAATTTTTGTTGAGAAAAAAAAAACATACCATAGACTGCACATATTTGAATTCACACTTTGATAATTTAAAAAAAAATTTTTTTTTTGAGACAAAGTCTTACTCTGTCTCCCAGGCTGGAGTAAAAAAAAACGATCTCGGCTCACTGCAACCTCTGACTCCCGGGTTCAAGCGATTAAAAAAAAACAGCCTCCCGAGTAGCTGGGATTAAAGGTGCACACCACCACACCTAAAAAAAAATTGTATTTTTAGTAAAGATGGGGTTTCACCATATCGGCCCGGCTGAAAAAAAAATCCTGACCTTGTGATCCGCCCACCTCGGCCTCCCAAAGTGCTGGGATTACAGGCGTGAGCCGCTGCACTGGGCTGATAAGTTTTGACATAGTATATACTAAAAAAAAAATCTCTATAGTTAAGAGAGTGAATATACCTATCACCCAGAAAATGTCCTTGTGCCCCTTTGTAACCTGTCCCATTTACCCTTCCTTCTTCAGGCAACCAAAAAAAAAATTTCTGTCATTAGACATTAGTTTGTATTTTCTACAATATTCTATAAAAAAAAAACTATGTGTATTTTCATCTTGTCTGCCTTCTTTCAACCATCGTTTTAAAAAAAAAGCTATTTTGTTCCTTTCTATTGTATGAATATACCACAGTTTGCTTAAAAAAAAACTTGTAGGTGAACATTTGGGTTATTTGTGGCTTTTAAATATTACCAAAAAAAAAGCTATGAACATTCACGTTTGGGTCTTTGTGTGGACTTATGTTTTCAGTTCTCTTGGGTAAGTAGCTGGGAGTGGAATGGCTGTAACTCTTAACATTCAATAGTAAGAGAACAAACAACCCAATTAAGCAACAAGGACACATTATTTTAACAAAAAAAAAAAACTAAAAGAAGTTAAAAAAACAGAAGAGAAAAAAGGACAAATTATTAAAAAAAAAACTTCAGCAAGAAGACACAGAGATAGCAAATAAGCACATGAAAAGGCTCAACATCATTTATCACTGAGACAATATAAATTAAAAGCACAGTGTAATTTAAAAAAAAAATACATTAGAGTCACTAGAATGAGAAAGATTGTTATATCAAGAGTGAAAAAAAAAGTTGAGGAATGGAACTCCAGTGGGAAGGTAAAATGGTACAATCACTTTTGAAAATAGTTTGGCAGTTTAAGATGGAGTCTTGCTCTGTCGCCCAGGCTGAAAAAAAAAAGCACGATCTTGGCTTACTGCAACCTCTGCCTCCCGGGTTCAAGTAAAAAAAAAACCTCAACCTCCCGAGTAGCTGGGATTACAGGTGCCCACCACCATAAAAAAAAAATTTTTGTATTTTTAGTAAAGGCAGGGTTTCACCATGTTGGCCAGGCTGGTCTCGAACTCCTGACCTCAGATAATCTGCTCGCCTCAGCCTCCCAAAGTAAAAAAAAAACAGGCGTGAGCCACCACGCCTGGCTGGCAGTTTTTTAAAAAGCTAAAAAAAAAACACTTACCTTATAACTGTGTTGCTTTTGAATTCCTTTCTTCTTTAAAAAAAAATTTTTTTTGGTATATTTTTGAAATGGGCCTTATTTTCTTTCTTGCAAAAAAAAATCCTTTTTCTTTCCATAATTAGAAACAAATGAAAGGCAAAAGTCCAAAAAAAAACATTCTTTGGGTGTGTTCTCCAATTTAAATGAAGATATTTCTTCTCACTTAGCTCACTTTGTCTTCAAGTTTTCTTTCCTCTCTATGCAATTTTGTCCAAAAAAAAAATAATAGGTAAATCCAAAAACAAGCTGCCAAGAAGTATTTTACCTTAAAAAAAAATGCCTTCTAGACTCTGGGACTACATAGCCTGTTCAAATCCCAGCTAAAAAAAAACTGGTTGTGCTAACATGAGCAAATTGCTTCATCCCTTGACCTCATAAAAAAAAACAGTAATTTGCAGACAATAGCATCTCCTTCATAAAACTTTTGTGAAAAAAAAAAAAATTAAGCTATGTAGAGCATCAGTACTTAGAGCATTGCCTAATCTGTAATAAGTGTAATTATATGTGTGCTACCTTAAAGAAAACTCCAGGTTAATAAAAAAAAAAAACGACTTCTTTAATAAATGTATTTCCAATATATTTATGGACATTCTTTTGGAGGAGCTGCATGTTTCCCAAACGTGTATCCTCAACCACTTCATCAGAAAAAAAAAAATTTCGAAGGAATTAGGAGGTATTTGCCGTCCAGTGACCCAGAGAGAAAAAAAAATGTACGACAGTAAAAAGAGCACTTGCTTGGTTTGGCTTCTTCTCTAAAAAAAAATTAGCAGACCAGAGAAACTGTTCAGTGCAAGGGCTCTGGGATCAAGGCTCGTCTGGGTTCAAGTCCTGGCTTTGCCACTGTGCAATTTGAGCAAGTGCAAAAAAAAAATGAGCCTCTACTTTTTCATCTGTGGAATGGGGATAATAATATTACAAAAAAAAAAGGGAAGCTATGAGGGTTGGAGAATTAGCATGTGTAAGCTTCTCAAAAAAAAAACTGGTTATCTGTCATGATTAGTGCTACGCCGGGTAACTCTAACAGAAAAAAAAAATCAGTAAATGGAGTGCATTGAACTAAATGGTAGCTATCAATCCTAAAAAAAAAAAAGAGAGAGGAAATGGTCGCTAGGAACACCAACTCAGTATAGTTAAAAAAAAAGTGAGGAAAACCAATTTAGTTATTAAACTCTGCAAAGGGACCCCCAAAAAAAAAGCACATTGTTTACACACACACAGGTGGAAGGTAAACCATATCCCAGACCCCAGGCCGGGCCTATTGGTCAAAAAGAAATAGGTCTCATGTTCATAAACTAAAAAAAAAAATTTAAAGACAACATCCCCCAGCTTCTGCTTCACCCTTCTGCTAAAAAAAAAACATCCAATTATTTAGCAAATATTGATGGAGTATGGGAAGAATTCTAAAAAAAAAGAGAGAAAGGAATAAAATCTAAATGCAGTGAGTGGGAAGCATTGAAAAAAAAAAGTTACATGGGAGTGATGGGGGCCATCTAAGGACAGATGAAGAGCTGAGTGTGAGAAGAGGATGATTTCCAAATAAGAGGCTCAGTGAAACTGTAAGGAGGAAGTGGCATTTATGTTTTGGACATATAGGAATGGGGAGAAAGGACCTTCTGGCAAAAAAAAACTATTTAAATGTATGAAAGTTGCTAATGAGTGGGAAGTTTGGCTGAAAAAAAAAGGTGCAAACATGACAGCATGGAAAGACAGAGAAAAGAAAATCATTGCTATTGTAAGCTCTCAGAAAACAATACCCCATAATGAAGGCCTCAGAAGTAAAAAAAAAAAACTGACCTCCTCCTGCCTTCCTGTGTCGGGTGGCTGGTCCTTCATTCTTCCCCAAGGTTAGCTGTAGAAACTCCAATACCTCTTCCCTAAGGCGGGTCATAAAAAAAAAAACCCTCTTTCTCCAAAGCCAGCCATAAAACCTAAACATATTACTAAAAAAAAACCATGACTCCACCTTTCTGTGTAAGAGTCAGCCATAAATAAATTCAAAAAAAAACTTTGTTTGATTGCAGGTCATAGGAACTCCATTCCAGAAGAGAGAAAAAAAAAAAGAGAGAAAGAGAGAGAGAAAGAGAGAGAGAGACACACACACAGAAAAAAAAAACATACCCAGGAGGAAGGAATTGCTGCACAGAGAGGCCAAATACGAAAAAAAAAAACAGGCCTTGCTGGGTTTCCCCATTGTCCGTTAGCATGAGATCATAAAAAAAAATTTTAATTTTTAATTTTTATTTTTATGGAGTGCTTCACTAATTTGCGTGCCATCCTGGTAAAGGGGCCTGCTAATCTCCTCTGTATTGTTCCAATTTTAAAAAAAAAACTGCCAAAGCAAGCGACCATACCTTTTTTGTCCAATCGTATTTCTAAAAAAAAATCCATACTTTGTTGAACCTAAACGTAAAAATGAACCTTTTCCTTGAAAAAAAAAGTCTTCATTCGGAAGGCTCCCATGTCATGTAAAACTATGATCAAATAAATTTGTACTCCTTTCCTCCTAATTGTCTGCCTTTTGTCAGCTGATTTTCAGAAAAAAAAAAGAGGATGAAGGTGAAGTTTTCCCCTGTCACCTACACCATAAACTTCTTATTTTTGTGTTAGATCTAAAGAGGGGTAGACAGGTGTTTATTGTCTGAGTAAAAAAAAATTTGTGAGCGTTTGAAATATTTCATTTATTACTGCAGGTTGAAGTAAAAAAAAAGAATTACCTCTGTTGAT